GTCTCTATTTTAGGAAGATTTTTCTTTGTTATATTTTCATAGCTCTATGTGTTTTTGGGAGGAGATTTCCACTGCTCTACTCACGCCGCCATCTTGGCTCCCGCCTCTCAGGAAAATATTTTTTTGGAGGAGATGGTATCATAACTGCATTTGGAAGGACAAACAGGTGTTTACTAGAGCAAAGGGTAGGGGTTGGGATCACTTTCTAGACAGGGCCTCCTGACCCTGTGAATTCAAAGGTCAGCATAACTCAATTGCTTCCTGTAGGTCAGTGGTTCATAACTTCAACAATGACGTTAGAATTGACTCCCATAGAGAGAGATAAGAGACACCAGATTCTGCATCGTTGAATAAATGCCTGAGGTAGTTCTAATACCTACAACTGGTCCTTTTCCTGAGCTCCTGCCCCTGAAACCCCTCAAGACAGGAACAGAGCCCTAGGTTGGGGGGTGGGAGAGAATGTGGCACACAACCAGAAACAAACCAGAGTTTCCATGACGATGCCTTTGAGCATCTGAAAGGCACATACATGCAAAATAAGTGTGAGTAAAGTGCTGGCTTCTGAATGAGGGAGGAACCAGGATTTACCACTTGTTATCTGCTCCATCTTAAATCTTGCAAATAAGTATAAAAACACAACCACTTACCAAATTTTTTTTTTAACCAATCCCCCTTTCTCTTTGGGTTCTCCCCCAGGAACAAAGTGAATGTGAAATCTGAGTTCTTACCGATTTCTTATCCCTTTCTCGCCTTGCCCAGGATCATCTCCCCACACGCCTCCTTCTTTCCCCTGAGTGAATCCTGACGCATTCAAAAAGATATTCTGTGCGTTTCTACACATCATTTTTATGATGATTTTTTTCACAATGATAGGAAATTCCAGAAAACATAAATAAGTGAAAATTATCTGTAATCCTATTTCACTCACATATTTCCAATGTTTGGTAGTTTTCTATCCAATCTTTTCTCTATTGATTATTGTTTACAGATTTGGGGTTATACATTTTGAAAGGGAGAACTTAAGGTAAATATATCTACTTTTCTCCACACCTGGAAACCAACCACTTCACAAACCGTTTTCAATAGTGGGCTTTTTCGATGAAGCATTATATTCTGGGCATTTTCCTATTGTCATTGAAAAATCCTCATAAGTAAGATTTTAAATGCCTTGTTTTCCATTATATGGTTGAATATTATTTCTTTCCCTACTATTATGATTTCCTAATCCCTCAGTTTCCTATCTGCTTCTGTTGTTTCCCTATTATAAATAGCACAGGATGAGCACTCTTACATGTAAATCTTGAGCACACCTGTGATTAGTCCCATAAGAAAGTCCTAGAAATGATATGTCTTGGGTTGAAGGGAATGGACATTTTAAAGGCTTGTGACATCTATTGCTGTTGCCTTCCAGAAAGACTTTAACAACCTGTGTTTCATTTTAGTAGTGAATAAGAGTATTCTTTCTCCTCACTCATAATATTGGTTAGCATTATTAATTATCTGTTTGTTCACCTCTTATGGATTTATCCCTTTCTGCCTTGTTTTGAAACTATATTTCCCCTATATTTCCTGAAAGACAAAGCAGGGTCACAATGCACCTGGTAAGTACTTAAGAAACACTTCTAACTCCTGATAGTTGCAAAGTGTAAAGCACTCCCCAGGCACACATATCCTATCTGGTCCCCACAGGAAGCCTCTTAGAGCATGCAAAATAAAAGTGCCATCTTGATTATTAAATAATAAAAAATATATAAAGGAGAGTCATTACTATTATAACTACCCAAAGAAAACACCCAAGGCATCTTAAGATGGATCCTTCCAGACATTTCAGTCTCTTACAGTCACACACCTTGATGTATGTACATTGAGTTCTGATTACCCAAATGGGATCAAGCTAAAAAATTTTTTTAAATAGTCTATGTTATAATTTTTGTATATATTTCTATGTTAATTAATAAAAATTTAGGGAGACAGTATAGTTTGTAAGTTAAAAGCATGGACCCTGCCACCCATCTCCCTGGGTTCGAATCCCACTTTACCTATTTTACTTGTTGTGAGACCTTGAACAAGTCACTGAACTTCTCTGTACCCCAGTTGCCAGAATTGCCAAATGGGGGAAATAATTATGCCTATCTTATAAGAGTGTTGTAAAGATTAAATAAGTTATGTAAGGCAGTTAAAACACACTACTCTCTATGTTGACATTGTACTGTTATTATTATGTAATACACATTTTTAAAATATTTATTTTGTAATTATAAAATTATAGAGGTAATGAGTAATTCTTATAGAAAATGAAAACAATTAGAGAAATAAATGGTGTAACACTTAATTCAGTGTACACCAAAATCTGTCCATATACACAATTATATACATCAAACTGTGACCAAAATTGTGATTACCTAAGATAATAGAATTATTGGGGAAGTTCTCTGATTTCTTTATGTATAATTTTCTAAATCCAAGTAGGTCCATCATATTTATATGCATTATTATGCCTATAAGTCTACAAACTATTTTGTAATTTGCTTTTCTTACTTGAGGACATATTTTGAACATCTTCTCATGAAATGCTGGATTGATTTTGCTGTTCTTTTGGACAGCTGCATAATACTCTGTTGCATGGCTGTGCCACAATTTATCCAATTCCTTTACTGATGAATTTTTCCTCCATTATTTTTGCTATTACAAACAGTGCTACAGTGCACATCTTGCCATGTGCATTCACATGAGGTTTTTAATAGGAGAAATTCCTAGAAGTGGAAAGACTGACTCTGTAGGTATGTAGATTTCTAAAGGTTTTGCCTACTCATTGCCAAATTGCCCTCCACAAATGCCATACCATTTTAAGCTCCCACCAGCCATGAATGCCAATGCTTGTTTCCCCACGCACAGAAACGAACATCACACAGCAAGTGCATTGTCCTGTGCTTTCATTTTGGACTAGTCTAATAGTTGTAATAGTATCTCTTTCTCACCTTAATTTTCCATTATTAGCAGCGAGGTTAAAACTATTTTCATATGGCTAGTGACCATTGCTATTTCTTAATGAAAATTGCCCACTCATTGTCTTTTATTGGCATGTTTGGCTTTTTCTTTTGTGTTTTTTGTATTGATTGTAAGCACTTTATCATATACAGTAAATATGTAAAATACAGTAAATCTCTGTCTAGCATATATGTTACATGCATTTCCCCTACTTAAGTGATTTTTTTTCCATTTTTCTCTCTCTTCTCCAGATTGGACTATTTCTACTTATCTGTCTTCCAGTTTACTAACTTTTCTCCTGTCATCTCTACCTTGCTAGTAAGTCCCTCCACTGAATTATTTAATTTCAGATATTTGTCTTTTTTCCAGTTAAAACTTTCCATTTGGCTCTTTTATAGATAAATACATAATATTGTCTATGTCTCTGCTAACAGTTCCTCTCTTTTCACCTGTTGTGACCATATTTTCCTTTAGTTCACTGAGCATAGTTATAATAGCTGCTTTAAGAGTCGTTGTCCAATAATTCCAACATCTGGATTATTTTAGGGTTAGTCCCTGAGGGTAAGTTGCATTCTCTGGTTCTTTGTATATTAAGTAATTTGGGATTGTGTCCCAGGCATTGGGTGTGTCTGCATTCAAGCATTTTGTTTTAGCAGCCTACCTAGGGCAGATGCAAACTGTCTCCTCACCTGTGGTGGGCAGCAACTCACGTCTCAGTTCACTTCCTTTATCTTTAGCTGGACTGCTTGTCGCCTCCTACATGCATGGTTCAGAGGTCACCCAAAGGCTTGGGCAGAGTTTATGTATCTATGAGTCTGGGGTCCCTTCTCTGACTTTTTCTTTTCCAGGCCTTTCCCCTCACTCTCTAGGTACCCTGGTTTACCCAGGCTCTGTTTCTTGGCTCCTCAGGTCAGGAAGATGTAGGCTGTCTACTGGAGTTTTTAGTGCCCTGCACTTTATCCCAGCTGTGACCTGTCTTTAGGGCAAAATCACCAAAAGTAAAACTCACTCCATGCTGGCCTTGTCCTCCAAGATTTGACTCCCTTCCAAACCTTCCTGTATTGTTCACCCTCAGGTTTTGTTTTGTTTTGTTCTGCAGTGTTTACTTTTATCTGCAAAAGAGATCATCTATTAGGAGCTTATTCTTTCATATTGGAAACAGAATTATAATTTTTGTTCATTGGTTTGGTATATGCAAGTTTAATATTTTTATCTCTTCGAATTCATCAGTCTTTTCTTTCATGGCAACTCTGCTTAAAACTACCTTCGCCACCTCATGAACATAAAAAAATATTTTTTCAAGTTGGATAGACCTTGGATTCATGCCAGACTTCTGTTTTCTTCCAGTTGGCTCCAAACCCACCCAAGCTGATGTTAATGTGGTTGCATTAGGGGTGGAAAGGAGAAAAAAGAGGACAAAGTCAAGGGATGGAATGACTAAGACTGGCTAACTGGCTGAACCTGAGACATACAGACTGGGAGATGAGGGGATGGGGGTGATGAATATTTTAGGACTAGTTATGTCATTGTTCAATCCAGACGTCAGCCCAGAGGCTTTGTGGCTCTTAGCCAGACCTGTCACTCTGGCCACAGCTCTATCCATTTTCAACCCACGTGTGTACCCCAGTCGGACGCACAGAAGAAAGCTGTGTGGCGTAGGCTGCTGGGCTGCTGGCTCTAACCTAGATCCATTTGGCTCCTCGAAAAGATAGCAAAACATGGTGGTCAGGGACCCAGGTTTTGGAGTTAGGCATTCCTGGGACCAAACTTTGACTCTGCCATTGTTAGCTGCTTAGCTTCTCTGAACCTCAGTTTCCTCTTTTATGAGATGGGCATAAAAATAATACTCATCGCATAGGGAGTTACGTGAATCAATGCTCACCAAGGTTTACCACAATAGTTGGCACACAATAAACTCACTTGATGAGTAGGGAGTGCTGCAGTGTCAACCCAGGGAGTCCTCCACCTGCCTGTGGCCTCGGGCAAGCTCAGCAGTCTGGTTCTGTCTACAGGAACTTCCATGTCTGGAATGAAGGCTGGTTTGCGCGGGCTGACCTGGGCTCCTCCTACAACGGATGGCAGGTTCTGGACGCCACGCCCCAGGAGAGGAGCCACGGTAACCCCCGCCGGCACACTGGCCACGCCCCCTCCCTGGGTCTCCCTCTTAGTCTTGGCCTCTCAGTTCTTTACAGTGACATACTGAGTCTCCTCCATCTCGGCCAGGCGCGATGGGATGAAACCAAACTATTTTCAGAGTAGCTTTCCCCTCCTAATTTTGCTTGGCTCAAGCTGCTATTCAAATGAGTGGCTTCCCTTTGCCCATGCGGCGGCCATCGCTGCTGTCCCCAGCACGTGCCAAGAAAGGAGGGAGAGAAGGCAGCGTCTGCCAGCAGTGACTTTACAGCACCGCCCTTAGTACCCTATTCCTCCAGTACAGGGACCTTCCCGTTCCCCATTGCTCACAGGATTCAGCCCAAATTCCTGGCCCAGCCCCAGACCTCACATCATGACCCCGGCATCTCTTTCACCTACCTCCACTCATGTGCCTCTGCCAAGCTGAGCTTCCTTCACCCAGGCTGGCCCCATCCCTGTCCCCAAGCTCCCAGATTTCTGCCACCACCCCTGCCCTCTCCCCCTTCCTCTCCCGTCTGAGCTTGGCTCCCAGGCTCTCCAAAAACTTTTCTTCTTCCCTCCTTCAACCTCTAGAGCATGTCTCATCTGTAACTTTCATTTTGAGTTTTTTCTGACTTAGAAAAATAACAATAATTATAAAATTAATAAGCACACATAGTTTAAAAAAAAAACTTCAAAACATTCTAAAAATACTCACAGTGAAAATTAAGTCTTACTGCCTCCCCCAACCCAGCCTCTCTTCCAGAAGCAACGAGTGTTACTAGATTTGGGGGAATTTGAAGGTAGCGTTAATACTTCCAGACACTTTCCAGGCCACTGTTTTTCAAACTTCTCATCTCACTGCAACCCATTAGTGGCTATGCAATCAAGTTAGAAGGTTGTGACCATCATTTGAAGAAATGAAATAGATTGTCATGGAAGAGGTGGGGAGGAAAAGAAAAGAAAATATCAGGGTGCTTTGGACATAGTGAAAACAACTACTGTCCTGTTTCAGGATCACAAATGTGCCACAATGTAAAATCTATTTCTTTCTAGAGGTCATGGTAAAAAAAAATTGAAAGTCACTGTTCCAGGCATAAAAAAGTGTGTGTGTGTGTGTGTGTGTGTGTGTGTGTGTGTGTGTGTGTGTGTGTGTATACATGTATTTTGTTTGTTTGTTAAAAACACAATTAGAATAATGCTCTTCTTTTTATTCCACTCACCTTGCTTTTTCTCAGCTGAGCACTTTATGAATGGAACTATATCTATATATTCAAATCTATGTCTACATCTGTATCTCTCCGTCTCTCCGTCTGTCCACCCACCTACGCATGCTGAGCACCAGAGGAGGGAGTGGATGGCCAGGGCTTGGGTGCCCAGAAGAACAAGAGACCCTGTGGGCTGGGTGTTTAGGAAGTCTTCCAGGAATGGGGGTGATGATTTGGGAAGAATGATTTACAGAGGTAGATTTACAGGTTAAAGAATGATTTAGGCCCTGAACACAAGACAGCATGAATTTCCTCTCTAGGAAACAAACCGGGGGCGGTGGGTCAACATGAACCGTGTGTCCACAGAGCACAGCGTTGGGCCAGCCTTTTGGAGGTGGAGTCTGACAAGGGTGTGGTGCAGAAAATAAGAGTGGCCGGGGAGGGGCTGTGCTGAGTGCCAAATGAGTGGGGCACAAAGTCGGGGCTGAAGAGTGGGGGTGCAGGGACAGGGGAGCTGGGGGCTGTAGAGGGCCCCCCAGAGGAACAGGCCCTGGGAGGTGGGGCTGTTGCAGAGGGGCCTGGCTTTAGCATGTACCCATCTCTGCACCCTGGCCCCCAGGGGTGTTCCAGTGTGGCCCTGCTTCAGTGTTTGCTGTCCGAGAGGGTGATGTGGACCGGGACTTTGACATGCCCTTCGTGTTTGCGGAGGTAAATGCTGACCGTGTCACCTGGATCTATGATGCCTCCAGCGGTACCCAGAAGCAGAACTCCTTGGACCCAGGCATTATTGGCAAATACATCAGCACCAAGGCAGTGGGCAGCGACTCTCGCGTGGACATCACAGACAAGTACAAGTACCCTGAAGGTAAGGAGGTCACCGCCGGGGCTGTGCCATCCCGGGCTTGATGGTGGGAAGACAGCATGGAGGGTGAAGAAAGGAAAATACCTCCTGTTCTTCCTGGGATCCCAGCCAGTTCTGCCTGAATGATGGCACTGCTCCCTGGTGCCTAACACCCAACAACCCAGTTGGTTTCCCTTGGAGACAGTGGATGCAGTGCCTGCAGAAGTTTGTCACAGAGTGCAGACAGCTGTCAGTCTAGCTCATCTCTAGCTGCGTCCCTTTGTCAATGGCACACATGCAGTGACAGTGCAGAAGTAGCCTCTTGCTCTAGCAGGCCACACTCCTTAATAGGGCCAGTCTTCTAAAATGCTTCCAAATAGTTGCTTCCCTTGATCCTGACAGTTGACTCCAGGGGATCAATGAAGTGCTCTGGTAAAGCCCTGCGTAGCACTAGAGGAGGGAGCTGGCTGGGGGTGCTGGCTGTGGTTCACTAAAGAGGAAAACTGAGCACAGGAGATGGGGTCTGACGCCAAGTCCACACGGTGACCCCTCTGGGTGGTGATATTCGTGGACATTTGGAGGCACAACTCCAGGGTAATGAGATTAGTGGCCTCAGTTTGGCCCCAAACTGCCCCTGCAGGCCATTCCCACGACTAAGGTCCGATAGCCCTTCTCTCTGTCAATAAGCATGTGCTGAGACCTACCCCAGCACCTACTCCATGCTCAACTTCGGGGAGGCAGCAAAGAACATAGCAGATGGGGCCCCTGCCCTCACCAAGCTTGCAGGCCAGGGGTGGCAGATGTAGGACAAATATTTGCAATGATATAGAAACGAGTGTAGGAGCCAGGGAGTAAATAACCCAGGGCAGGAAGTGAACTCCAGTCTGACCATTTATAACTGTGTGACCTCAAGCAGGATTCTTAGGATCTCTGATTCCTGGGTTCCTCCCTGCAAAGGCAAATAGCAGTGCATGTCCTCAGCAGGGTCTGAATGAGCTAGTATACATAAAATGCCATGTGCAGTGCCTGGCACTTAGTGAAGCCTAATACACAGTAGGGATTGTTATCAGCTTCAACATCTGCAGCCCCATTGGAATAGCAACCTCCTGAGGTGGCTTTAGAAGTGCACTGCTCACATGGATATAAGATCCTGGGGGGTTGCTTACCTGTCTCACCTTGATTCTGCTTCTTGGGAGCTCTGGCTGTCCCAACCAAACCGTCTAGGCAACAGAGAGGGGCCATGCCAAGTTATGGGTATCCCTGCAGGACTCCTAGCCATGCTGCAGCCCCTGCTTGCCGTTGCCCATCCTTACCTAATGACGTCACCTTGCCCCTGAGAACACCAGGGAGGAAAAGCTCATAAAGTGCATTGCTAAGCATTTGTGCAACAACCACACCAAGGGAGAAAATAGTAGCAGGAAGCTTAGTCTTGCATAAGCTCAGCAGGTGACCTATAGAGGCATCTGGGCTCCAAACCTCATTATGCAAAACATGCCTGCTTCGAGATCCTGAGCACAGAAGGCTCAGCTCCCTGCACAGATATCAGCCCTGGGTGTGACCTTGCAACTCAGCTAGAGAATGGAAAGTCACCAAAAGGAGCTCAGCCCACCAGGAGCTGTCAGCTTGGGTAATCTGCCTGCCTCCTTTTCAGTAGGGTGTCTGGAAAGACCTTTGGACTGTGGGTCTAGATACCTGGGAACTAGCCCATTCTTCCACGTTTGACCAGTCACTTGAACCAGTTGTTTCTCTTCTTAGAACTTTCATTCTAACATGATGGGCTTGGTTGAGTTGCCCCCTGGTGTCTCAGCGCATTGTCACATGTAACTTATGGGAAAGATTTTGCTAAATTTTAAAGGGCTTATAATGAGTCGCCTGGTGTCTTAAAAATTTCACAGGTTGGTTGGGGAAAGTGGGGGCCATAAGCATGGTCTGCACATATAAATGACAATTCTTCTCTTCGTGTACCTCTGTTATGTTCCTGGAAGGTCAACCCCTTCTCCTTGATGGCAGATCTATCTTCAGGTCAAGGTGGGGAGTCTAGTGTGAACTGTGTGGTCAACGCTGACTCACAGGCTTGGAGCTGGTTACTTAGCCCTTAGTGCCCCAGAGCCATGATCTTTAGGGTACCTTTTGGCCATCCTCGGGACTATTTATGCCATCACAGTCAGCAACACCCATGGTTGGAGTCATAATCAGAATACCTGTCCTTTGTATTTTTGAAAACTGAACTCTGTTGACAATTTTAACTAGTAACTCAGAACCATACCAACCATGGGAAGTTCTTGTCAACTGACACAAAGGTGTCACTCTTTAACCCTCAAAGTACCTTAGAAACAAGGTGGAAAAGAGTAAAGTGATTTGAAAAAAGTTCTAATGATATCAGTTCTCAATCATAATTTTTTCCTTTTTTTGCTTATAAACTCATTCTACCCTTTCCAGATCAGTTTTTGTTATATATTAAAAAAGGATCTGTTTGTTTTTTAAGTCTTACAAGGGACCTTGTATCCAAAAAAGAGGAAAGAATGAAATCTAACCTAATTCACCTAAGCAAAATATTCAAGCCATATAGTAATTTTCTGCTGATAAAGCTCTCCCTACAGCTCCTTGGAAATGTAGAGCTAATTGGAAAAGTGCCACAGACCAGCTGGTCTGTGAGCCTCACATTAAGGGGGATCAAATGGAGACCTGGAGAAGTCGGACACTTGCTTGGATCCAAATCCTTGTGCAGCAGCAGAACCAGTGGAAGTACTAGGCTGCCTCTCCAGGCAGCACACTGTCTTTTGTCCAAGTTGCCACTGCATCCCTGCCATGCTTCTCTCTTTTCCCAGGTTCCAGGCAAGAAAGACAAGTGTTTGAAAAGGCTCTGGGGAAACTTAAACCCAGTGCATCTCTTGGCCCAACATCCGCAAGAGGCTTGGAAGTTGAGGAGCGGGACCCTAGCATCTCTGGGAAGTTCAAGGTCACTGGCATACTGGCAGTGGGCAAAGAAGTCAACCTGGGCTTGATACTCAAAAACTTGACAAGTGATATGAAGACAGTGACCGTGAACATGACAGCCTGGACCATCGTCTACAACGGCACGCTAGTTCACGAGGTGTGGAAGGACTCTGTCACAATCTCCCTGGATCCCAGTGAAGGTAATGCACCCTGTGGTTTGCCGGGGTGCCGTGCATCCAAGGTAGCTAATATTCTGCTGCAGGGGGACAGTTCCTGTTGGAACTGACTCAGCTGGCTAGGGAGGAGGTGCACACGGCTTCTGTAGTTAATCTGTGGGTTCTGAAGTTTTAGAAGTTGTCGTGTGATGAATAGTACAAGTCGGAGTGGTGCCAACCAAATCCTTTTGCACCCTGGGGGAGGAAGGAGGGAGGCTTTGGCAGTTAACAGGCATACTGCAATATCCCATATAGGCATACGCCACTTTTCCCCTTGTGCAGCATGCTTCCTTATATTCTGCCTCATTTGACCTTCTTAAAAGGGCAGGTTTCCTCATCCCTTTTTACATAGGCAGGAACTGAGGCTTGTTCCAGAGATTAAATGTCATAACTAGTAAGTGACAATGCCAGGATCTTGGTCTTAGGTTTCCTGATGCTAAATGCAGTGCCACACCCCATTTTTTGGGTTGTACTGTTAACATCTCTCGCATTTGTCACCCCCCATCCCACAGTGAATCGCTTTTCAGATTTGACACTCGTAGGGTAGTAATATACCCTGGGGTCTTGGCCCCTTGTCCGGTGTTCCTCCACATCCACCAGCAGAGTGGGGTGAAGGTTCCTGATTTTTGTCAACACTGATGTGTTTTCTTGGAGGTCTGAGAATCAGGAGAAACAGGGACTCCTTGTTCCTGGGTAGCACAGATGGAAGGTGATAAGGTGGAGCAGAAACAGGCTGGTGCTCTGGAAGGATTAGAATGCAGGTGTGCCCACACTGGCAAAATCCTTCAAGCTGTTATGAAAAATCTGGATTCACAAAGCAGATTAACAAGGGTGGGGTGGCTATTTGCTTCATATAAGGAACCAATAAAAACTGATTAATTATGCAGCACATCTTAAAAGAATTCTGTCTGCAAAGAAACTGAGGTGTGTTACATCTGCCAGAAGGCAACATCCCTAGTAACCTGTCTTCTGGCAGGATCTTAACAGAACTCTTCCCCATACCAGAAGCAATTGCCTGGCTGTTATTCACCTTCAAAGCTCAAGGGAAGAGCTATTTTTATAGGCCAAAAATAATTCATGTGAGGGAAATGGTTTTAAAAAACCATACTTCTGCAGGAGGCAGCAAAGTAAAGTGGGGAGTGGGGAGGAGGCAGGTAAAGTAGTCCTAGAAGCCTGATGCTGTCACCTACTTTCTGGGTGGCCCTGTAAGTCCTCCTCCCTCTCTGAGCCTCATTGTTCACCAGCAGGTATAAGGGCCTGTCACCTCCACATTGGAGGCAGGCTATGGAGGTTTCAGAAGTGAATCCACTCCCTCTCACTCTGCTTCCTGGCTTCTCCTTCCAGAAACGCAGTATCCCGTGAAGATCTCGTACGCCCAGTATGAGAAGTACCTGAAGTCGGATAACATGATCCGGGTCACATCCGTATGCCAGGCCCCTGACGAGTCTGAGGTGGTGGTGGAGAGGGACATCATCCTGGATAACCCCACCCTGACCCTGGAGGTAAAGGGCTGGCGAAGGGGCACCTTCCAGCCAGCTCAGCCCCTGGGTGCACTGCCAGCCCCCAGGCCACAGGAAGATCTTCCCCACTGAGCGGGGCAGGCAGCTGGGCCCATCAGGCTTTCCAGTGTCCTCACTCCCCATCTGACAAAACAAACAGGCACATTTGCCCACTTCTTTGGTTCCAGCTCTTGACCCACCAGGGCTGTTAGCTGGGGGGCTCTTCCACGCCCTTGCCCAGGCACTCAGTTCTGAGCCTCTGCTGTGCTCTGGGCTGTGTGAGGCTCAGGAGTCCCACAGGCACGAGGGGTGGCTCCCGCCCTCAGGGAGCCCGCAGCCCGGCCCCCACCCAACTTATTTGGGGAACAGATCAGAAATGGGCACAACTCACATGCACCTGCACTCTCGAGACCCCTGAGCTACAGAATCGCGAACCCTTAGAAGCCTAGTCTGTCTCCCCTACCTGCCATTTCACACGTGGCAAACTGAGGCCTGGGTAGGGAAAGGAAAGTCAGTCACTGCCAGAGCCAGGGCCAGCCTCCCAGCCCAGAGCCCTTCCCAGGGCATCTGGGCATGTCACCATCACAGAGGCTGAGGATGACTGTGTCTCCGCTCTTAGGGTTTGCTTCTGTTATCAGCTCAGCTCCCAGGCTCCCTCCCAGGAGCCCAGGAGTGAGGCTTGAGGTCTGCAGGAGACTGGGGCTTCCCTGTCACTTCCTCTGCTCCAGGCAGGAGTACATGTGGGGACTCCCTGCCTGAGCCTCCCTCTCTAACTGCCACCCTCCCAGCTCAGGTGGAGAGTGCCAGAGCCAATGGCACAGATCAGAGGGGGAACAGGCTGGCAGGCAGGAACAGGCAATTGGCTGGGCAGAGGAGGTGGAGTCTTCCCATGGGGGTCCCACAGAAAGCCTCATGGTCAGGCTCCTCCTGCACCTACTATGTCTACCATCGGCCCCAACTGTCCAGACAATGATTGCCTTTTCTGCTGTGTTCTGGGCTGTGCCAGGCTCAGGAGTCACAGATGCACAAGGGGTGACTTTCTGTGCATAGACAGTGCCTCCCAAGCCCCAGACTTTTAAAGGAGCCTGGTAATTGTGGCTGCCCTCATTCCCACTGCTCCTTAAGCTGTGCCTTAGCTGCAGGGATTCCTGACCTCAGACAGAGCGCAGGGGCACCAAAGGTGCTGCCCGCTCTTGGGCAACCAGCCTGAGTCTGAGCCCTATCACTGTCCTGGTGAGTCTGGACTGTTCTTTGGAGTTGGGTGGTCTCCCACCTTAGGGTCTAGGGAGCCAGTGACTGGCCATCACATGGGGCAAAGCAGAGGGGCAGTGACACTTTCAGCAGTCGGCACCCAGTCGCTCCATCTCTGTGCCCCAGTTGCTCCAGTGCTGTCAGGGGGATAACGTACTTCCTTTGCAGGGTATCATTTCCTCAGGGAAGCCTTCCCTGAAGGACCCTGCTCCGGTCCCCAGTTAGGCTTGGTGCCCAGTTATACAACCTCAGAGCCTTCTGTCCGCTTACACCATGGCTTTTGTTCTAGTTGAAGTTACACTTAATTATTGGTGCAATTACTTGGTGGTAGTCTCCTAGCTGACCATAAATTCCACAAGGGAAGTGATACCCCTGTTCCAGGCCCATCACCATCTCCCCTGGTATAATACCTTGGAAGCTAATCTGTATTTGTAAAACAGAAACAGAATTGGAAACCAGCTACTTGACCCCAGGCTTGCATTCTTCCCCACCTACAAGCATTTTGATTATCAGTCCATGCTTGTCCTCCCACTTGTTAAAGCCTCTCCTGGTTCCCAAGGCATTTCCAAGAAATGTACTCCATCCCTAGAGATACAATAGACAGCTGTGCACTGATTCCCACTCCTGAGGCTGGGAAATGCTGCTGAGTAGTAGCCAGATCAGTTGTGAAAACATTCTACGTTCAAATGATTCACATTTAAGTGAAGGTAATTTTCTTCCCTTTTATGCTCCCTATCCAATACCCCCAAACTTTTTTAGAACTTTCTCTTTTATTCAGTGATTTTGCTCTACATCTTTTGGATTTTCATATCAAGTCAGCCTGGTCTTTAAGAAGACTATAACATCTTTAGAAAAGAAATCAGAATTCACACAGGCTGGAAATATGCTATCAAGAACTTTCTTATTTAACCATTTTAAAAAGCATCTGGTCTTTCTTCTTTTGGGCATCTTTGTGTAATTTCCTTCTAACACAATCTCTCCTTTAGGTCAGCCTTCAAAGAATCAATACATTCTTGTCTTGATGGAATAAATCAATGCCTAGCTAACTCAGAGCAAGGCGTGTTTTTAAACTCATGGGGGTGATATGTATGAAAAGATAATAATTTGGGTAAAATCCCTTTATCTCATCTAGTACTGGTTAGCAATAGGCAATGAGGACTTTTTGACTGCAGAATCAGCCCATAAAATCTGAACTTTGTTCCACAGAATAACATCCTTAGTGTTGGCCCATGAACCACTGACAATCATACATACATTTCTGGTGGTTCACCCTCTCCTTGGGGTGCATGTGCAGATTTGGGTCAATAGAACAGGGTAGTAAATAAAAAAAGAAAAGCAAATACATGAAAATCTCAAGTTGCATATCAATGCAAAAAGATGGCACCCTTTATGTGGCCTTGTTGTATCTCAATGGCATAAAATTATGCTTCACACTTCAAATTATGCCATATACTTAAATGAGTTACGTGGGAGAAATCACAGTATCAGTCACAGTCTCTAAAAATATCTCAATTTGCACAAATTATTGGTAGACATTACAGGGCCCAGTGAGAAGAGCAAGCACTCTGCGACCAGAGAGACCTTGGCTGTGTTATCAGTCTGAAGAGCTGCTCTAATACTACAAAATGTGTGCAGTGAGGATTGGTGAGCAAGAAAAAGAAAACCCAAATGAACAAAAAGCCCTCACCTCTAGTGATGCTCCACAGAAGAGGAAAAGAAAGCCATCAGTCATACAGTGGCAGTGTCTATTCGCATGATCTCATTTGGTTCCTTCTAGCCCGAGGGGAAGGCAGAGAGAGATGATTAGTCCTCTTCATCACAGGAGGGATTTGATGTCTGAAGAGATGATGTGTCTGCCGAATCATGGCTGCTCCTTGGAGAAAGCACAGGCTTTCATCTCTGGGAGCAAATAGTCCAGGCTGCCCTCGCCCGGATGAGTATGGAAAGGGGCCGGTGAACCCGGCAGGGAGGCTCAAGTGCTCCCAGCCACCACGACGTGCTGCCTCTCCCTGTGAGAGAGTGTCCTGTTTGCAGCACGCGGATGAAAACAATTCCCTAGGAACGCCCTGCACGGGTGTCCCTGGCACTTAGGAGGCCCCTGCAAACAGTCCTCCCTCACTCTGTCCTCAGTGACATCTTCTGCATCACCAAGTCACCAGCTCAGCCCCACCAGCTCCCACCAAGTGGCAGATGAGACTCCATCAGCCCCTCTCCCCACAGATGCTGGACCAGGCCCAGGTGCAGAAGCCCCTGAACGTGCAGATGCTCTTCTCCAACCCACTGGATGAGCCGGTCAAAGACTGCGTGCTGATGGTGGAGGGGAGCGGCCTGCTGCTGGGCAGCCTCAAGATCGAGTGAGTCCCCAGCCTGAGGGGACAGCGTGGGATGGGGGAGGGGGTGGAGAGGGCCTTCCCAGAGCTCTGGGCAGAGCAGACAGAGCTCCTCAGGCTTAGGAACTCTGGAGTCTGCACGCAGGAATACACATTTGCGTTTGGTTTCGAGGTTCCCCAAACTTGAACTCCTGGAAGTCCAGGTCACCAGAGCTTGGAGCTGGTCCTCGGGGCTCAGCATATTTGGGAGACCACAGGACCCCCACTTTTCCTGCTGAGGGACTCCAGGGTTGAAGGGGCCCCGTGACCCAACAAGGTGCTAGAGGAAGCTGGAGAGGCAGGGCCGAGGCTGCAGAAGGCCTACCTAGCCTGAGGTCCATGACTCTCACCGTCAGCACTGACCTGTGCCCTTCCCAACAGCGTGCCAAATCTGAGCCCCAAGGAGCGGTCCCGCGTGCGTTTTGAGGTCCTGCCTACCCGGAGTGGCACCAAGCAGCTGCTCGCCGATTTCTCCTGCAACAAGTTCCCTGCAATCAAGGCCATGCTGTCCATCGACGTGGATGAGTGAAGGGCCTCGGTGGCCCCATACAAACTTGGGTACCACTGAGCAGGCAGGCTCTCCTGTGGAGTGAGCCCCCTGCCCTTGCTGTCCAGCCTGGGAAACCCACTCTGTCCCCCAAGGAGGGCTGGACACAGCCTCCAGCCTCCGGCACACATCCCCTACACACTCCCAGGCTGGACTGGCTCCACCCTGGCCCGTGACTTGACCACTTCTGCACATTCCCATGGAGCCCCATGGCCCTCTCAGCCCTCATGCCCACCAGTGCTGCAGGACCGAGTGGCACCTGACCCAGCCACTCTCTGAATGGATACGGGGGAGAAGACAGTCTGGACTTTTTGCTGATCCCCAGTTTGTAGTTGGAACATTCCTGCACCTTCCTCAGGCCACTGGGAAGGAGAGGACATGGTTAGCCATCTGCAATGGCACTCACATTCCTTACATTCCAAATAAATGTTTTAAAAGAGTGCGATGGCCCAGCACCAACTCTACAAGACTGCTGCTTTGCCTAAGGTAGTGGAGAAGGAGAGACAGGGGCTGGGGCCATGTCCTTCTGGAGAAGGAATGACCTTGGGGAGGCCTTGTTCTCTGCATTTCAATATCCAAAGGGAGTGGGCTCCCTTGTCCTGTGTAGCTCTAGGCGCAAAACTAGGGAGATATTTCAAGTCAATTTAGGAGAACTTTCTAATATGATGTCCAAAAATAGATTAGACTGACTTAGGAGGGAGCTCCTTGTCACAGGCAGGCTTCTAGCACTCTTTGGGTGGCCAGGCAAACTCTTTTAGGACCCTTTACAGGCGTCAGAAAAGGCACTTCACAAAGTCTGCCCTGGAACCCTTTTGCAAAGCAGACACCAGGGGTGCCCAGACCCTGCTCACCCTGGGCTCCTCCCAGCTTGCACCATCCTCTTCCTGCAGCCAGGAGAGAATGGGCTGCTCCCAGCAACACAGCACAGCTAACTCAGCTGCAGCCTTCCCTGCCTTCACACACACTCTGACGGTTTCTCAGTCTTTGCCCCTTGGGATGACCCCAGACAGATCCCACAGTTCTCTGTCACTTGTGCTGACGAACTCATTTTGGCAACCATACCTCACTTTCTAATTGAAGGGACCAGCCCAGCCTCAGCAAAAGCTTTGGACTCACATCCAGCTCTAGGCTTCTGCCCTGTGCTCAGCTCAGGCCTGAAACATTCTTTGTCTTCCTTCCCCATCCCCTCCCGTTGCTTGGTCCATCAGGGCTGGAGCAGGGAGACAGGGAGTTCAGAGGAAAATGACAAAGGTCTGTTTCTCTGGTGCTGATACAGCAATGGCCGCTGATGCCCTCTGCAAGGCCGGCATGGAAAGGCGGGTTTCCTGCTCCCTGTGTTCCTCGCTGTGGGCAATATGCCGTCTGGTTCAGCCTCCAGAAGTGCAAGCTAGGGGGACGTTACTGCGCTGCAGGTAGTTGGCTTGCATGATGGCTTAGCCCGCTTCCCTTTCAGGGGGTCCACTGGCCTGTGGGAATCTCATACCTCCTAATCCCACCAAACGGGGCAAGCAGGCAGTCCGGTGCCCCCTCCTCCTCCTCCTGCATCTCAAGCTGCCCCAGCCTCAGCGCCCCACCTCCACAATTCCCCTGGGGGCAGCCAGCACCACCACCTGGGTCCCCCCTTTGCTCCCACTGACAAGGCACCCTCACCAGGTGCAGCTCTGGTGCCTGAAGGCAGCCAGCCTCTCCTGCAGAGCAAGAAGCTTGTCTCCCCTCTTGCAGGCTTCACCACTCTCTCCAAGTATTCTTGGGGCCTTGCCCCTTGCCTCAACCCAGAGATTCCTCCTCAGAAACCCTGCCTCGGTCCCCAGTGAGGACTTCTGAGAAACTGACAGACTTCTGCTCTGTTTTCTGAAGAAATCCAGAGTTTTCTGTTTCCTCCCATCCATGTGAGACCTGCCCCAAACCTCACTTCCCTCCAGCATGAGCCCCATCAGCAAGCACTTCCTGAGCACCACTTTGTGCTAGGCTCTGTGCTGAGCACAGGGTCCAGAGAGATTAAAAACCACCAACAGCATGATCCCTCCTAAGGCATGACATTAAAAATCCATGTGGAGTTTCCAAGGCCCAGGCCATGTGTCTTGTGAAAGCTGTATCTAACAGCCCTCCACCCTACCTGGGTTCCAAAGAATTTTAGCAATAAAACAAAGAAAGAGCAGACAGAGGCCACAATGCTACATTTATTTCTGGTAGAACTGAAGTTGGGGGATGTAGCATAGTGCAAAATGCAAGTGGGTCTGCTAGTTGAACCCCACAATCAGATGGCTTCGGTTAGGGTATATGTTCAGCTGCCATAGCAGGAGACCGAAGTGTGATCCCTGGGAACCCTTTCCATTACTTGTTTTAATTGTCCGTCTTTTGAGTCCCACCCTTACACATTTGAAGAGATAATACAATTCAACATACAATTAATCACCACCTCTTGAGAACGCTCATTATGTGACAGGCTGTGAACCAAGAGCTTTAGATGCAGTATCTGATTTAATCCTCCCAACGAACTTACCGGTATAAATACTAGTATCTCCCATGTTACCGTTGAGGGAGTAAGGCTCACAGACATTGAGTCATTTGCGCAAGACCCCAGAGCCACGAAGTGGAGAAATTGGAGTTCAGACCCTTCTGTCTATCTTCAGAGCTAAATTCACTATGCTAATGTGCCCAACACTGTTGGTGACCTACGGTCGTTTCTCCTTCCTTGCTAGGAGGTCAGGCTCTGGTTGAATAGATGTTCCTGAGGGCGGATCTGGTTAAGAAGAACAGAATGCTCTGGCATGTTGCAAAATTCTCCCATCTTCATCATGAAAACCTGGTAGAGCTCCTGGAGGTAAAACTCACAAAAAAAGAGTTGGGGCCTGTCTTTGACGGGCTTCTACCTGGAGTTTTTAACTCTCATACTGGCCCACATTGAGCCTCCAGCAAAGCGCCAGTCGGACCTCACTGGTTCCTGCAGAGGCTGCTGCTTATGGGTTTCTGCTCCCTAAATTGTGATTCTCTGCAGCACCTGGCAGGCTCTCTAATTCCGGGACAGCCGTGTGCCCTGTGGAGTCCCTTCTCTTACACATCTAAGAGTTGTTGGTTTTTTCAGTGTATTCAGCTTTTTACTTGTTAAGATGAAGTGGCAACTTCCAAGATTCTTGCATGCCAGGCTGGAAGCTGGAAGTCTGTTATAAGCATTTTATAGGTATTTATTCATTTAATCCTTCCAACAAGCTTTTGAGGAAAGGACTAATAACATCTTCATTCTGTAGATGAGGGAACTGAGATTTAGAGTCAATCAGGTCCCAGGGCAGTTAGTAAATGGCAGTGCTAGTACCTAAGTAGACTGGCTCTAGCGCCTAACCTCTGTGCTAAGCAATATGACCTGCAGAGATTCCTAAAAGGTATCCAGTGACAAACGCCATCACAGATTTGCAAGGAGACAGGGAAGTAGATGCAGAAACCCAAGGAAGTATGTCTCTGCCATGGCACCCGGCCCTGGAGAGACATTCAAGGAGGATGCCTCCTCCAGCCTACTTCCTTACAATGACTTAGTTACTGGCTCTCTTTTCCTATAATGATGAAGTGCCATCAGCAGGGGACCTGAGAGTCCCTCTTCCCAGAAGCAGCCTCTTCAACCTGCCCTGTGTCTAGCTCTGGGCTACACCGCCTCCCAGCCTTGATCACACCTGCCTCAAAAGCCAGCCTCAAGCAGCTGGATTCAACCAGCATCTTCCAGAGCCTACCCAGTAGTTGGGACGCTTTGTGCCATTATGTCATTTCTCCTCCCAGCAGACTTTAAAGCTGGGCATTATTTATCCTCCATTTTATACCAATGGGAAAATGGAGGCTTAGAGCCAGTTTTCTCCATTCTTTGCTCTTATTCTAATCTTCACACACCTTTATGATCACCTACAATACTTCACTGCAATCATTTGGTTATCTGTCGATGGATGCCCATCTTACAGGATGGAAACATGGGCAAACATGAATAAAAATGATATATTGATATTGCATTATAATATATGATATGCTCATTGACATTACATGGTGAGTTCAATGAGTTTGAATTATTGGCAACATAATTTGTTGTGCAATGAAGTTGGCCTATTAACACAGCAATTCCATTAATCCTGCATGTTGCCTTCAGTGATCTATGACTTACTATCACTAATAAGCCTGCATCTTTAGCATGCCTCAGAAGATGTATTCTGACTTTATGGCCACTCTGTAATAAAGTAACTTGCTCTCTCTTGTGAAATAAAATTATTTTAATATACATAGACATTATTAAAATATTTTTAGACAAATATATTTACAGTATAAAAATTCCTTCAATATATAAGCATATAAGAGAGTGAGAAAATAAACTCTTCCCTTTCCCTACTCTCTTGCACTCCTTTCCCCCAAAGGACATGTAAGTTATAAGTTTGGAGTTCTTTCCTTCTCAGTATTTCTAAGCCCTTGGGGGTTGAAAGTGGGGTGCCTCTTAGTGTTCCACTCTGGGAATTACAGGCTTTTGTAAAATCAGTGCTTCAGACTGAAGGCCAGCCTTCTGTTTAAACTTGAAATGTCTGTGAGGAATGGGGGCATAACTCCACAGAAATATTTTGGTATTTTTGTGTATGACATTAGCAACTTAACTTACCTGCTCCTGGAAAATGTGACCTCCCAGGATCACCAAGCCATTAAATTCCAGAGCCAAAATTTCAATGAATCAAAGATGATTAATGAGCCCCTACTATAAATGGTTCCAGGGATTCAGCACAAATGACACATGCTTTCAAGAAGTTTGTTAACACAGGGAGGCAGAGGTATGGGAGAGGATGTGAGAACATTGATAATAAAATGAGTAATCAAATAAATATTGTTAGGCTGGAGGAAGAAAAAACAAGGACATGCAAACAGAACAGATAGATGCCTTAGGGGCAGAACAGACCAGACCCCAAGGTCCATGCCTTATATGGAAAGGGGACAGCTCTCCCTGAATTCCATCCTTCTGATGGGCCAACTAAGACCCAAATGTCAGCCTCCTCCCTCTTGGAAGGTAAAAAAGTTTCTAGTTGTCTATTATGTCACCTTTAGCCAATCATACCTCTCCACACCCCCTAAGATAGCTTGCCCACTCCTCCCCCTCCTAATCCCTTATAAGCCCCCACCTCCCTGACCGGGTGTGACTTCCCTGGCCTGTAATACCCAGACCATGGAGCATCACCCGGGAGTTGCACTCAAATAAACTACCAGGCCCTTTGTTGCCTCTCTTCACCTACTTATTTCGGCTAAAATTTATCTTACAAATATAAAGTGTAAATTCAAGTAATGATTAATACACTGATGGGGGGAGGGTGTTAGGGAGTGACTGGATTGGGCTGGCCCTCTGATAGGTGATACTTGGGTAGAAACCCAACATGAACTATAAGGAAGAGTCATGTGAAGACCTAAAGGAGTGAGTTCCAGGAACAGTGG